CATCATGGGAGCCTCTGATTTTGAGATCATTTTAAAGAACAAACGGAGACTGACCTCAACATACCCACACCTAGTTAGAATAAATCTGGAAAAAGTTTAGAAGATGAGGATATTAGCGGTATATGTTCTGAATTCTAAGGACATCCGATGGCGTCCAATATGAAGCGAGATGAGCCCGACGAAAAATTCAACGAGGAGTTTTCATCATCTGTGGAATGTTCCCCACGAGGCAGCCATTACTCTGAATCCACAGAAGCGTTAACTGCTCCAAAGAGTAGGAGAAGCTCGAGCTATGGGAATTGTTCCCCTTTCGCGACTATCGAGGGTTCTGACGGTAGAACTGGGGTATCAAGAGAGTCTCAATTATCTCATTATTATGACCTGATTGAAAAAGCGCTCGATAGCTCAAATTATGACTAGGAGTCACTGATAGGAACTGAAGAAGGAATGTTTCTCTGGAACCTGAAGTTTCCTATTACTACAAGCTCTTAGAAGGCGCAACAAGAGACTAAGATAACATAAACGGCCACGAGACAAAAGCTCTTGAAGAATTTTATTTTAGTGATTATCAAATTTACAGTACCAGTTTTGAAGGTCACCTTACTCAAGATTGTGGGAAGGATACCTTTTACTGACGTAGAGCTAAAACTCACTGATCTTCAAGGAGTGTCCGCTAGTAGGGCGTTTAGTGACCTACTGGAAGACCAAGTATATGAACAACTTCTTGTGGAATACGTCACTTCTCTTGATGAAGTTTGGTTTGAACCAAAGCACGAAACTTATGAAACGCTTTGATAAAAAGGCGAAGTGGATGTAAACACGGCATATGCTCACTGAAACGTGAAAAGATACTTGCGCGTGTGTGGCATGTGCACCGCCTGAACCTTAACTAACGATGCAATTGCCACAAAAACCACACTGAAAATCTGCCACTGAACAGAAATCAACTTTTAAAAAACACTCCACAACGTAACCATTATTTTCATGAGTATGTCATAGCAATGATGAAGCGTATTTTCCTTTCGGGGTCAGCTCCTTGACCAAGACCGAAGTCAATGGCGATAGAACACTTTGAAAATCTTGATCAAAGTGAATCTCATCCAAGCTTGTCACAGACTTATGTAAATTCCATGAATGCCACGCTCAAACAGAACTTGCACATAAGCTACCGATAGTAAACAACAACATATATTCAAATAACAATACTTTTATTTCTAATTTCTTGATAACATTTCGAAATGAAAACGACGGCGACATTTACAGCCCTATCTCTTTCTTTGAGTTGTGCTTAACATTAATTTTAACGACAGATCATATTTACAAATCAATTTCTGAGCTGATAATCTGACATTCTTGCAGTATTGTAGAATTAAATTTCCCATGAAAGAAATATTTCCCTGTCGCATAGTTCATCTAACACGCTCTGAAGTTCATTGCCCGTACACTTTTTTTAATGGTTGTTATTCTATAAACTTCACCATTGTTTCGAGAGTTTATTCCCATACGGGGAGACTACTGCGTAATGAAAATTAGCCATAAGTCTGAAACGGGGTTGAAAGGAAACATCGACTACAGAAGGCTATTGTTAATAGGTTCTCTAGAAGTACACTCATTGTTTAAAATGAATTGGAATTACAATGATTTTCACAGAAATGCAGCCAAGCAAATCTGCTTTTTAATTACAGTTCATAGTAGTAGGGCTGAAAATAACACAATAGGCGGCTTCACCAAAATAAGAAGTCAAACCAGCATAAATTTTATCTCGTTATGGTGCACACTTGGCGAATTAAATTCATTCGACACTCTTAAATAATTTAATTATGCTTTTATTTGAATTGTTTATGATGCCAATTTACACAGGAATTATAGGTTGCACCAGGTTCGCGGAAGGTGGATGCTCAATCACTTTAAGTTTTCATCGGAATCCATCCATAGCCAGGATTAATAAAACTAATAACAAATCAGTTATTGGAGCCTGATCATAATTTCTATTCTATCTTATCGTCAAACGTATTCACTGCAACAGCATATCGAGAATAAATATTTTTCGCAGGTATTTAACGATAGTTAAGAGAGTGTCTCTGTAAGAGCGGTCCGGTCGAGTTTGCTTGAGACACGGATTTCGCTCATTTCTTGTGTGTTTTAAGACATTCATGTACCTATACTAAATACGACAGCAATTCAAATAAACTTTACTTTCAATTCAAGCGGCAAGATTTGAAATTGTTCGTTAACCAGTTCTAATTTAAAGGAGAAAGCTATGAGAATAAAACAAAAATTGTCTGTACCACGAAGCATGCCTTCACTGTTTAGACTGGGAGTCCTAAAGCTTTTTAAGCGTGTATTCGAATATCTTATGACGAGAAGCCCGCCACCCACCCCACCCCGCGCTGTACTGTTTTCACTCAGCGGCTGGTCAGCGATCACGTTTATGAGGTAAACATGGCGATCACTACCAACGTGATATTGCCTCGAAGGTGAAGCAGTTATGTTATTTGATTCGTACTTCACATTCGAGTCGAAGCTTGGGTGGCACAGGTTATTTCTTACAGTGGAATCGACGAGGGGAATTCGAACACTAGTTGTAGTGTTTGAATTGTTGGAAGAAATGGTCGCATGGGAATGAAGGAATGGTAAGTTTAACGAACAATTTCAAATCTTGCCGCTTGAATTGAAAGTAAAGTTCATTTGAATTGCTTTCGTATGTATTTCTGATGGTTTTAGATCTACCTGACTGATTTATATCAGTTACGCTACATGTTGACAAGTCCCTCAAAATGGCGCCCAAACTTGGAGATTGCCGAAAATTAGGTAAGTTAACGGAGTTATAAAGTTTTCGTAAAGGTCGAGCCGCCAAGTTTTTTTTTCTGTAGTTACCTTTTCTATGGCACCTACTTCATAGCTATGTTAGTTGAATCAGTTAAGAACGCCTCACTTTTTCAAAAATTTACCTTAAATTTGATCGGTTTTGGCATGTGACTTAAGCGAACCGATAAGGTGTCATTCAAGTCTTCCTGTATACTTGATTGAAACGTGATGTTCACGAAAGTCGCCTCGATGGATAAGATAGAATTAATATACATGGCTGAGTTATTTGTTTTTTTTGCTGAGTTCCGTAGCTTTTTGTAAATTGTCCTCCAAAGTTGTCCTAAATTAAAGTCTTGAAAAGTGTCACGACAAGACTTCGCTCGAATGAAATTTAATTTCCGTAAAACTCTTAAAAATGAAGAGATCCAATCAAACAGATTGTGGTTTTAGTATAGGTACATGAATGCCTTACAACACACAAGAAATGAACGAAATCCGTGTCTCAAGAAAAATCGACCGGACCGCTCTTACAGAGACACTCTCTTAAACTCGTTCAACGAGTGGATGAAAGCCTTTCATTCCGCGAATTTCCCTATGTCTTGGTCGAGAAAAGTACGTTTTCATTTCGGTGGTGGGAAATTAGGCTTAAGGTGATCTGTTGCGTGAAAATGAGAAAATTACGAGAACCATTCGACATCGATATATTTGTTTGACCCAGTAAGCAAGCAAGCGAGCGGCAGTCGGATCGTCGAGGTTTAAAGTCAATGTTACGAGATCAACAATCTGAAAAACAATTTGGTCGCAACTGGTGTGAGAAAAACCATTACTATCTTCGTTGTTATTCTATGTCCTGCTGTTGGGAGTTCTTGAAGTCCTTCGAAACTTCCTTCAGGCTACGCATGTTCCAGTTTATAACTGTAGTGAAAACAATTTCCATTCCTGAGTTACCATTATCTTTGTTTTTATTACTTAGAAATTATGTCAAAGATGATCAAAACATGATGTTCAAAGTTCTTTACTGCGCTTCGCGAAACACAAATATGGACCTCGCCGAGTTGTACCGAGAACCTTACGTGATGAAACCTCATGTCTGAAAGGAGTTAAAAAGGATTAATTTTGGTTCCAGTCGATTAGCTACCGCCAAGTTTCGCTAATTTGCATGACGTGTTTATTTTTACAAGCATAAGGGAGCACGTCAGCTTTTTCGAGAGGAACTTACAAGATTGCAGAAAGACCATATTTTGGAGGTTTGAATTTAACAATAGCTATCTCATCGCCATGTTGAGGATTTTCAGGCCGTTATTATTTCGCCTACTCAAGGGGCTAGGTTTCCAAACAGAATACGTCATTTACCAAATATTTTAAATTGCCTGACTGAAATTTATAAATTTAGATCATTAGTAATTACTTAATTTTACCATTTCATGTAAATTTTGGTAGACTGTCTTTTGTATCTTTGTACATATTGTGTAATATGCTTCGAACGATTTTCAATTTAAGAAAGTCGACCATCAACATATATTTCCGCAGAGATAAGATAATAAAACTAGAGTCCACCACTAATAAGAAAGATTCGTCATAGATTCAAAACCCTCTCTAATGACTTCCCTGCGACAACAGCGAAAGTCAACTGACTAAGTGAGCAGGAAATTGTGGCTTGCTATCATTAGTGACATGAAAGGGTTTGTCGTGAGTACTCGTGAGTACCTTAATTTCGTTTTTTTTTTTTTTTTTTTTTTTTCCCCTTATGCACAGACAGTTCGAGACAAAATAACGCAAAAATGTCAAATTTTCCACACTTATAAGGCTTAAGACTTTCAGCCAATTAATAGGAGAGGGATCTGATAAATAACAATTCAGCGGGCAACTTTCGAAGCTATTAAGAAATATATATTTAAAAATTAATAGTGTGAACCTAAGAACAAAGTTGATAATGGTTAAAGTCACTAATTTATCGTTTCCTTTCCCATGCTTCCCTATTGTGGAGTTATTTGTCAATTACAGAATAACAATGTCAGAAGATAACAATGCCTTCAGCGTAAACGACAAACACTCATTCACTTCCTTGTCGACGTTAAAGTAGCACACACAAACAGCGACCAATCATAATCCAGTTGACTGATATACCTGGTCGACATAATCTCGAACAATCATTCACTAATCTGCGCGTATACTGAACGTTATCTGCAAATATGGGCTTAACTGACTTCGCTTTTATTAGCTACTTTGTGCTCGTGGCCCTAAGCACTATAGCTTCCAAGGCACCAGATGACTGCAATGACGGTTCTTGTTGCTCAAATTCGACATACATTAAAATTAATGAGCCTCGTCGCAGCATAAAGAGCATTTGGAAAGTGGGACAAGTCGCTCTATGTGATCGGGGATTGAGAAGGGGGTGGTATCGTTTTACAAGCTTTGTTGGTGGAAAAATGCCTGAAAACAAGGTGCTACCTAATAATTGTGGCACGCACGCTCCCATCTGGTTGAAAGGTACTCATCCGTCGAAAAAAGGCGAGAATGTCGTTCGCAGAGCATGCATTAATGTTCTTAACATTGATCCGGACGGTTGCTTCAACTCGTTTAACATAAACATTACCAAGTGTCCAGGAGGTTATTTCGTGTACTATCTAAGGCCTCCCTGGTATTGTTCAGCAGCTTATTGTGCTGGTGAGTAATTGTCTTTCTTAAGTTTTTGCTTGCCTGCTTTCTTTTTTTTGTTTTTGTTTCTTATTTGAGTGGTAGGAGCCTAGCACGGGGAGGGGGAGGGGAAGAGACACTCTCCACTATGCAGAAACCATTAGAGCTCAGACCTCAGCGTTCCGGGCTTAGCAAGTTAACTAAATACGATTATTAATCTTCATTGTTCTCGAGACACGAGCATGAGAAGTTTGTGCAAAAATCTCTGCGCTTTTACGCTGAAAACGGGCGATTCTACCGGCATTCTCAAGATCGTTTCTTTCTGCCTATGCTTTTGATATCAAGACTGGACACGCCCGCGTAAGAGGCATGGGTCCAAGGTCAATTTACTCTCTACCGCGGGTGGTATGGTCAATTTTGCAATCGTCCGTATTTCGTTTCCCCACGGGTAGACAACACTATGTGTTCGTGGTTAATAATTACTGACACGAGACGAACAAAATCTATAGGAGTTATGAGTAAAACTCTAAAAATGCATATTTGAATTATGTCTCGGTCTGAATTGACCTTCTCTTGACTGAGATATTCAGACCGAGACGTAATTTAGATATGCAAATTTGAGAGCTCGATTCACAACCTTCATAGATCTTGTTCATCTCATGTAAACAATTATTAACCACGAACACATCGTGTGGTTAACGAATTCCTTTCGTCGGTAATTGTGCACTCACACAACGACGAAGCCGTGTGTCTGATTTCAGCAGTTTCTTTCCCGATCGGGTACATTTGGCGAAATGATGAAGCCCAAGTTTGACTGGGAAATGTAGCATTATCATTTTTATCACGAACCAAAGTCATTTAGATAACCTTCCTGATAATTTTGCCCTTCTTTTTCATGTAGAGAAAAAAACCTATTTTTTTCTCTCATGTTGTGTCTTTAGGCTACAAGGAGCCTTGCCCCTATGGAACAGAAGGAGAGCCGCCTAATTGCTACGGTATGTCATAGACATAAATCTCTGTCGAATGATGAGGCATAATTTTAAACTTATCATCACAACTATCATCCTCATTGATAATAAAGTTAGTCTATATCCAAGATGCCTTCTCCACCTGGGAGTGCATCACAGAAGGACTGTCAGACTAAATGTCGTGTTTAGCCGCGAGGTTTTAAAACTTTCAAGATTTTTTTCCCGCTTTATCCTGATTGAGATATACCTGTTGAAGCTCAAAATGAAAAGAAAATATGAAATAAAGTTCGTTTCTAAAAAGGATGAGCATGTAATTCTTTCAAACGACGAAATAAGTTTTATTTTTGCTTCAATTGTACTTCATTTCCAAACGCAATGCGAATTATGGCTGAAAACAAAACCGAGTTTTTTTTAATTACAACTTGGGATTTGAAGCGATGAAGACTCTTTATTAGAACGGTAGATATTTTTTAAAGTTTGATATGGCCGAAAAGCGTTCTGCAATAGGAGATTTTGTTTTGAAATAATACAATTTTCAGTATTTTAAACACAAAGCTACACAATTTCTTAATAGTAAATTCAAGTGAGGAACAGTTCAAGCGGGGTAAATCTACCACACGGGTCTCATAAATACAAGAAATTTGTAAGTTTTTGGGTTCTTTTTTTGAACGGTCTATATTTTTTTGGAAGTGTTAATATTTCGCAAAAGTTTTGTTAAAAAGGAGATTTTAATTTTAAAACCGTACAATTTCAGAGTTCAAGCGAAAACTAATCATTTGAGAGAGTGTAGATGAATCAATAGTTTTTATTTTCATAAGTGAAATGTTTAATTAAGAGCGACGATATTTGAGTTTAGAAGAGAATATGTAAACTCGGTTGTGAAGCATACTCTCAGTACTTTCTGGAAAATATTGACTGCGTCTCAGTCAGGTTTGTATAGCTTTTTCTGATTCTCGCAGCTCACCTTAGTGTTTAGGTTTGGCTATGTTGATTTGGAAAACGTCTCCCATTAAATTAAATAAGAAAAGGTTTAATTTATACTATATATTCACTCAGGCATCAAACTGCACAATTTTCTAAATTTACCAGGACTTCCAGATTATGTATTTAAGAGACACATATCCAATTTTAGTACAACTGTTTTATGAGAATAAGTTCAACAGTGGAAAATATGCCGTTAAATAGGGCGCTGGAGTCTCGAGATTATTTTAAGGCTATTATACCTCGTTAAGTTGGTCTATTGCGTTACCAAGAATATCTATGAAAAATTAGTCCCCTCCTATTTGGGAAATGTAAATCGTTGTATGTAATGCCTGTCTCTATTCCTTTACGTGTTTTGTTAACAGATATCATGCAATGTCTCTGCAATGTTTACAACTTCCCCGAAAAACGTGTGGTCGCCCTCAAAAGCTGTGCGGGAACCATTCTTTGCAGGCATTCAGGTAAGCTATCTATTCTTCCTTTCTTTCGAAATTCCTGTCTTTTTTTTCGGTTGGGTAGGTAAAACGGTTTCAAAGAAATTTTATCGTTATTATCGTTATGCTATTATCATTATTATCATTATCACTGTTATTATTAGGATCATTATGATCGTTAACATCAATATCATAATCATATCATTTCAGCATTATCATCATTGTTATTAATGATAATGTTATTAATCATGAAGATAATACCAATGAAAATCATAAAAATAATGATGATAATGATAATAATAGTGATATTTTTATAGTGCAACTTAACATTTAGATATGATCAAAAGTGCTTGTCAATTTTAAAAACTAAAATCCACACAGTAAAATAAACATCATACATCGTCTTGTATTCCTATTTGCGACAAGCGAAATAATGCAATAGATAACGGTAGATTTTTTTTTTAGCCTACTGCAACTTTTATTTTGTAAATAACTCAAGTTCTACGATACTGTTTTCTCGTAACACGTGGGAGAAAGAAAACTTTAGGTTACGAGTTGGTTTATGAGAGTATTACTACAGAAACTGCGTTAAAAAGGATCCTTTAGTGGCGTTGGAATGCTACTATAGCAACAGATGGGGTTCATACTTGTCTGGTAATAGTTTTATACAGCTGCTAAAACAACACCTTTCTGAAAAGTTCGGCGATGTTACGATATTGTTGCATCATTGGACAACTAATTCTCGATCACTCATGGTATATGATCTGCTAGATTGCCGGACGAAAATGTTTGTTTCTAAACGAGTCAACACTCAAACTTCAGAACCTTTTGTTTCACTTTGCATCTCTCTAGCTTATCTGCATGCATTTCATCCGCATATCAACTTCTTGACATCATCTGATAACTTCAAAACACTTCATGTAAACAAAAGCTTTTAGATGTTATTTATAATTTAAAGCGCAATTTGGGATTTATCAGGACGAGTAAATTTGAAAGGCTAACCGAATTGCACGAGCCCCTAGAGCAAGAGAAATTTTAAATGTTTGAGAAATTTATGTGATTACTAACTAGTTAATAGTATACATGCAAAAATTTTACCCTGTTTTCCTTTTAAGTTGTTTTTATTTCGAGTTATGGCTTACTGGTTCGGCCGATTGCCTTTTTGCCGAAAAATTCGCCGGAATGGTCAAGAATAATTTAGTGTTTGCATTCTTTCTCTGTTTGGTCTCGGTCGACAGCAGTAACCATTACATGAAAGCTATCACGCTTGTAGTCTTCCCTGTCTTTCGTACGAACCACTGCGTAAAGCTCCTCGAGAATTTATGCAGGGCCTCCGGTTCCTACTTTAAAAGCCGGTTTTTGGAGGCTAGACTTTTTTCTTGTTTTGCTTTTCCTTTGCGGGGAGTTTTTGTCTTTGGTACTCTCCCTCAATCTCTTAACTGCGTCGTTACTTTCTCCTCACCTTTCTGCCATTTTGTTTCGTTGTGCTTTCGTGATTTACCTGTTGACCAATTTTATTTCAACTTTCTACACTGTTTGGGATTAATTGACTTGTTCTCAGCAGATGAGTGTGCTGAAATTTTGGCATGTTAGTTATTTGTTTTCAAATCAATAAGAATTACTTGATGAAATGTTAAATAAAACTCATAACGTCACAGTCTTAGAATATCTATTGTATGACACATCTTGCGTCGCTCTTGGATGTAAAGCTTGAAAGTGTTCTTGGCCCTAAAAGTTCTAGAAAAAACAAACAAACAAATACAAAAAACAAGTACAATTATTATAATACCAAAACTTAAAGAGTTGAAGTAAGATACAACTTATTTCATTTTGCTCCTCAGGTATATCCTCGGACTACCTTATTGCAAGTGCAAACTTGTTCCCTCAGCATCCAGACGATAACTTTTATACCGAAAATACCAGCTCGTAGAAACGCACTTGGCTGGCCAATCGTCGAATTCTGGCTCCCAAAGGAGATACAATTGGTAGACAATAATCAATGCGGGGTCCAGCTAGAAGGCACAAAAAATGTCTCCATAGCAATTAAGACAACCTGTCCAGATGGTCAAGTTACAGAAGGTCTAAAAGCCATAGTTCCTCAGATGGAACTTCACAGTAAGCTTTGGAATCCAAAAACTGGACTACCAACAATATGGGTATGTAAAGGAAATATTTCTGAGGACATCAGCCTTAATACACTTATGTTTGGAACACTTTAAATGAAGTCCACAGTCGTCAATATAGCAGGTTTAAAACCCGCCAGGTGTGTTCGTATAATTTTCCAAAAATTCCAAGGTCTTTATAGGTATTTCCCTCCTTCATTTGCAAGGGTTTTGTTGGAGAAGTATTGTCGAAGGCCTATCTACTTAATCAACTCTTTTTTTTTGTGCAAAAAGGGTGTTCCTTTGGATTCTTAAACAGACATCTATGCCTTCCAAACTCCTAAATTCTCCTGAACCATACTTTTTAAGCAGTCTCAGACCCATACCTCCCCTTTTTATTCGCTCAACCACAACTAACAAATAACTAAGATTTATATCAAGGCGTGCACGTCGTATTTAATCATTATTTCATTTTTCAACAATTCTCTTCCAGGTCACTGTCCTAAAGCCAAAGGGAGATAACATACAGACATGTACATCTGTCACAGATCCTCATATTAGTGCTCTCGGAGCTAATAGGTTCGTAACAACAATTACGAGCATTCCTTTTTTTGTTTTTTTGTTTCATTTTTTCAGGTCAAATTGTTATGTGTGAACATGGATTATCTTTTTTTTTTCAACAAGTTTGGTAAAACTCCAAGAGAAGTTAATAATTGGTGCAAGAAAGTAATTGTTTCTTGCATTGTCTTAGCATTTAGCATCGCTGATTTGTTTTGTAAGATTTGGAAGATATTAGTAGTTTGACCACGGATTATATAGCCTCTTTCAGGCTGTTAGTCAATGAGACCGAATGAAATAACTGGAAAACGGTAATGTAGGCCTGTAATAGGCGTTTTCTACTGAAAAATTATTTAAATCACTGATACAAGTATTCTTAAAGTTCCCCCTAAACCTGCCGGAAATTTTGCATAAAGGACTCCGAGAACATGAACAATATTTGACGGGTAAGGTTGAGGAAAACTGTCCCATCCAGTTTTGAAAAGTAACCTAGTCCTGGTGAAATCAAGGGTGAAGTATAATCCGAGTTCGGAGGCACTACATGAACTAAAAAGGAAACAACTATTCCTCATATGTTAGATACTACGATTTCATGGGTCTCGGTGACTTCATCCTCTACAAGAATATGGAAAGAAAATTTGAGGTAAGGTATGATTTGCCCAATTAATAATTTGTTTATGCGTAGACTGGGACTAATCCCGAGAGGATTCAAAAACATTTCAATACGCCCTTTGGTGTGTAACGAGGATAATTTGTGTAATCGACGCGAACTTTACCAAGAGAAGAGCTTGACTTTGCTTAATATAAAGTGCAAACATTAAACTCTTCGTTTCCTGCGTCGACGCCTGGTCTTCTAATTCTTCACCTTCGACCACGAGTTCGAATCAAGGGGTCTTGCTTCATTCTCATTCGTAGCTGGTGCTTACCTTGAAGCTTGTATTTCGACCTCTAGTTTCGATGTAAGCCCTTCGGTATAGTATCTGAGGATTGCATCAATCGCAAAAGGGCTTGATTGAATATGAAATGCGGGCGCTTTTTGTAAATTCAATTTTGGTAAAATTATCGTTAAGATTTTTTTGTATTTAAATTAGTAAAATATACACACATTTATAAAAGCTTAACCATTCTTTTTCGCCCTGGTTTTAGGCTTAGCTAAATCTGCATACTATCAAACCATAAATCTTTGGAGTTGATGGAAAGAAAGTTATCGCACCCTTTCGAAATTAGTCCCAGCAGAATTTATTTGATCGGAAAGTGTGTCCTGTTGTTGTATCTACAGGTTCATACGCGGCAATGGGCTTGTGACAATCAGCCATTTCCAATAGGTGGACACAATGGAGCGGGAAGAATTAGCTGCAACTGTGGAGCAGTCCTCAGGGATCACAATGACGTAATTGAGTTCAGCTGTTGTAACCAGCTTATGGTTCGGGACAGGAGAACGCCTATCACAGTAAAAATACGTAGCAAGAAGTGCCTATCACCAGGGATATCTATAAAGAAGGTTATACCCGGAATAAATGGCAAATATGAGGTAAGTATATGATTTCTAAAAGTACATTACTACAGGAAAAAGCACAAACATGTCTTGAAAGAAATGTTTTGGAAATACTTATGCCATTTGCTTCCTATCATCACTATACGAAAAAGAAAAATAACAGAGCTTGTGGCTTCGCTATGCATTTCAGCGGAGAATATCATGTTTTTCCAAGTTTGAATCATTAATCTTCGAACAAAATGTGACTTGTTCAAGCGATGATAGTAAAAGAACCCAACAAATAGACGCTTATTAACCCGGAGGCTTCCTGGTAAGCCTAATCTCACTCACTCAACCCCTATTTTAACACAAGATCCAAGTTTAATTCGGATATTGGGGACCAATATGAATACCTTTGTGGCTGCTGTTTGTTATTTTTTACCTTGTATTTCACTATTGAATGATTCTTCTGCAATTTTTCAGAAGAACTGTCCTCAGACGTAAAACTCAATACAATTCCCAAGAAGATTTATATGTTGTATATATTAAGTACACATGAATTTATAACATAACCTAGACAAAACGCGCACTCTGATTGGTCAAAACTCTGTTGCATTTCCTCCGTCGGCTGCTCGTTAAATTGAGCGCCTTCATCTTATGTCGCTATTCCTCCTTATTTTATTTACAATTTCTGCCCAGTTTCTCCGTGCCACTGCTTTGATTCAGCGATTAATTATTAACAGTCTTCGATCATCTGACCGGCAGTTCGTTTAGTTTCCAGCGCTTTGATTGGTTTATCGCATTTTATGATGATTTTTATGCGAATCAGCGACTTGATAACAAAATAAAATTAAATTTATCACTCTCTTTGACAGGCTTCAATCATTTTTATGTCATTAAAGCAGTAAACCACACTTTATATCGGGATGTTTGGGGGACATTCGAAAAGTTTACAAACTTTTCGAGTATCCTCTGGTAGACCGATATAAAGTGAGGTTTATTGCCCAAATGTAGTATATATGTAATGCATAGGTAGTAATCGGAGAGTGCTATAACTGTAAGTAGGTTTTGACATTTGACTGAAGGAAATTCTCGAGTGAACCACGATCAATTACCTTAAGGCAAACACAAACTCGAGGGTAAGCGTAGGTGCAAGAAATGAAAAAAATACCTGAACAAACAAAAAAACTAAAATAAGACTAAACAAAATACGACAGAAACGAAAAAAATTATTAAAAACAAAGCGAAAAATAAAACCGACAAACAAACAAACAGAAGCAATTGTATATTCCGCTGAGACATAAAACCCTGCATGAAAGCCATACTGAATACTTAATAGATAAATGGGCAAAAAAACAACAACAACAACAAACAACTACAGCAAAAGACAACGACAACGACAAAAAAGGAATTTTTGATTGCTTCTCTTGCATTTCACCCGTTTGAAGAAGGTAAAAGCAAACGCTGGCGTGTTTCAAAAATAATATTTTCTTGACTTTATTGGTTTAAGTGAAAACTAGCTGGCGTTTCCGACTTCGAAGCTGGAGGCTCAAACGAGTGTTCAAGGAGCCTCAAGCAGGATCATCGTTTTTTCAAAATAATTTCAATAGATTTTAAAGCCAAGAAAAAAATAAAAATAGAGGTGATTTCTGATCGTGACCACAAAAAGTCAGTTTTAAATATAGATTAATCATAATGTATTCAGATTGTTAATATAGCTTATTTTTCCACTTCCCCTTTGCACTTCAACGTATGCGGTTACGTTCTTTTTCCTTTTTTTTTTTTTTTTTTCATAAAGGTATTGTTTCCGTCGGGTGCAAAGGTAGTAATAAGGAGAAATTCTTGGGGACTTGATGTTGTCATCAAGACGCCGAGAGCAAATGACGCAAGCCAAGAAGGAGGACTGTGCGTTTACCCTGGACCTTACGGCATGCGTATAACTGACGCCGGTTTCAAGGAAAGGTATTAAAAGAGAACTTTAATAAATATCGGTCCAGAACATTTTCTTTGTATATTTAAACAAATATTGATTACCGAGGTAATTGAAGACGTTCCTTGCTTTGTCACTGCGTATGTTAAAATATAGAACTGTAGAAATGTGCGTAAAAATAAACTTTCGTACAGACTGTATTTGTTAATTACTTCAAAGCTCTTTAGATCAGCTTCTCTTTGCTTATGAAGAAGCAAATTCAAGAGGAGTTTGCAGAGAAATTTAAAAGTTGATTACTGAAAAAATGCTACGTCAGCACATTTTTTCCAGATTTAAAGCTAACGACCTCAAAAGAGGAGATGGTTTTCTTTTTTTATTTTGATAGTCCCTTATGAAATATTCTACCAAGTCATTTCTTCAAGTCAAATCACCGTACATATTTCGGTAGTTTGTGAACGACCCCGTTATAAATTTGAATGAAGACTTAACTAGGAGCTCAGGATATATTCCCTACAGATTCGTTTCTTGGATGTACTCCAGGACAGGATCCCTTACCAGATGTTTTTTCATTGGGAGAGTAATTGTTGCATTCCTATACCTATACAATGCAGCTAGCACTCGCTTTTAATTTTTCCCTCAATTTCTTGCTCCGAGGCACGATCCTTTCTTCCTCCTGAGTACATTTGACTTTCATTTTTTAGGCTAGAAGTCGGTAAAAGCTATTTTGACACGCTCCCTGTTGAAGTTCGAGATGAGGACGTTACATATTCCTCAACACGTTTATGCCAACAAGAGGAAGGAAATGATGATAAAAGTATCTGTCAGAGTGTTTTCAAAGCTGCTTTCCCCACACTCGTGAAAGAAGATAATATGACCCCAGTGAACCCTAAACATGCCTCACCATCAAGCTTATGTGATAGACAAAAGAGAGATATCCATTACTCGGATGATATCACTGATGAAGATCTACAACTGTACAAGCAAACTCTTCATCTGCATTCACGTTTTAAGAGATCAGTCGCTATCAAACAAATTCCGAAGGAAAACGCTACACGTTATTGTGCTACAAGAATATCCGATACAGAGCTTGGAAAGCTTTGTGCAAAAATTGGCGTTAATGTACAGCTGCTCGTAGATACTTGTTCGGCAGATGTTGAGGTGAGCCAGCTACTATAAATGAGCTTGGAGTGCAGCTGTTTTAAATAATCAAAGGAATTGATAGCAGTTTGACTTCATGATTTGTTAATTTACCCATTTTATTGCATTAAACCAGTCTGTAGCAGTATTGCCAATCGCTCCCTTGAATTTTAGTTATGTTGTCTATCGTATTCTAGTTAGGTTACACCATTTCCTAATGGATGCCTTCCGGAAGAAAAAAAAATTGTACGAGCGCTGTTTTTTGAGGAAGTCACCTCAAAATATGTATCGAAACACAATCTACTTATAGGGAGAATTCCATTAACTCATAACATAAGGCGAAGAAAAAAGAAAAAAGTACATCGCCTACAGAAACTAATATTCTTCCGGCTTTACAATGAACCGTTTCCAATGGGGACAAGTTAAAAAGCTAATATTCCACAAATTTTCTTTTAAAGAAATCTACAACTATTCTAATAATATGTCACTTGCTAGTTACATGAAAACGATTTAAATGATGATAGCAAAAAAGGCCAAAAATGAAAAAGATAGCTCCTAATTAAAGACATTTACATTTTTGAGCCCTCGAATACCCTTTGTCTAAGCTAATCAGTTAATTAAGGAAGCCATTAAGTGACCGTGAATTTCTTTGCCAGTCTCGTTCTTTTAAGTATATTTTTTGTTGCTTTGTATTCAGTGCGCGTCTTTGTGCTAGCTATGTTTTATTTTTTTGTTTTTTTCGTATGTATTATTTTTTTATCGTTTTTTTCTTGCTTTTTTGAAAGCTCACTGGAGACCTCGCCTTTGCAAGTGGCAGTGTGTTGTTGTTAGTCGAACAATGTGGGGTCCTAGGAGCCAAAAATTTATCTACACTTGTTAACGGAAGTGATGAAGGAAATCCTGCTGCTGCTGAAGCATTTGTTGAACAGGTGGCGGAGCTGTTATGTCCGAATGATTGTACACTCAATGGAAAATGTATCAAAGGCTCATGCGTTTGTTACGAGGAATACACAGCTTCTGACTGTTCGATGTCCATTTATCAGAAACCTGAAATTTACAGGTATTCCGTTGAACACATTTCTGCAGGTCTTGAACAAGCCCATAGCTTTTTATAGCTGATTCTGTTTTAGATACTTTCTCATTTTTCGATTTCTGAAAGAAAGGGAATTACATACACTCTTTTCACTTTCCACACATCTGTTAATCGATCAGTGGCTGTAACTAAGTTAAGGACAGGCAAAAAAAAGGCCGACCCCATCTTTTGGATAAGGGTGATGTTCTTTAGATTTCACCAACAGTGATTATTTTATAGGTTGCAAGAGGACGGTTTGTGCGACAGGCGTAAACGATCGTGTAAGAAGGTCACTGTCTTTGGCGTCGATTTCAGGAATTCGACAAACATGACCTGTCATATAAACGAATTCAAGGTCAGAAATTTTCATTAAAGAAACAAAATTGATGCTATGGATATAAGATGAAATAAGATCACGAAACGTACAGCTTTAATTTAAAACTCAATCTCAGATTTTTACTAGATTATAACACTTACGGGCTAGAATGGTTTCTATCTACTTGAATTTTTCCTTGACACAGAAAAATCTCGTCTCGTTTAATCTGATTTTTCTTAGTGGTAGGTTCTTTGTGTCAATGAAGTTCTAATTAAACACTTAAATCTACCGCCTAATCTATTGCCTAAACGCTCTAGCTTTTTGTCACATTTCAGGGCATGTTTTATTGCATACTTACCTGTGTGTTTTTTCTCGTTGTTAGAATGTTTCTTTAGGTGTTTTGTTTGTTTGTTTGTTTTTTCTTTCTCGTTAATATGTTGAAATTATTGGTAAATATAGGTCCTAAATAGTTCTTGGAAACCAAACAGCACAGAACTAAGATTCCCTGGCGTGATGACTGACTTGGTGCTTGTAGATTGCTATTTACCCGAGTCACAAGTCACGCAAGGCTATTTCTCCGAAACTGACGAAGGAACAGCTGCCTCGGGATTAACAATATCAATATCCAACGATGGTGAACACAAAAGCAAAGAAAATCTTACATTGATATCATTCGATTCAGCTTGCATGAGCTGCAATATTTCGTCTGGGTGTTTATTCAAGGCAAGTGTACATTATCTAACTAAATCAAAGAATGAGATTGCCTCATTAACAGTCCTGCGGGGACCAACAGGGACAAACACAAAACTAAAGAAAAAAATTAAAATAAAAACGTAGAAATAAAAGATAGCAAGCGAGCTGACTCAGAAAAAATATGTACATAATATGCAAATATGAAAATCAAGAAGAAAAAAAAAAAACTAAAACATGAACTACAACAAGAGCAAGAAAGCAAAACCAAACAAAGTGCTCAGTTGCGATATTTTATATTTAAGTCCGTGGTCATGAATGGTATGTGGATCTGTTGGTATTTATACCCTTATACATTACAGGGAAACTCTTGCTTGATAAATGGCTACTGCTTCGCTCCTAACGAGACCAACCCTTTAGACTGGTGTTATCAGTGCCTTCCTGAAATCAGCACATCCACTTGGACGAAGCGCCAAGGTAAGTTAAACAAGCAAAGTTCTACACATTTTTAGATATGATATTTTATCGCAAATCAATATTCGCATCATGGGGCATGCATTTAAACGTTTGCACCAAAATTGAGATAGTATTGTAAATATAAACGAGCTTACGTTCGCTTATTTCGCATCTGGGGCACTTAAATGCATCATTTTGTTGAAATGTTTTCTAATTAACAAATGGAGAAGCCTTGACTGTGCTCTATTCTGTTGTAAAGCACGCAGGAAGCGGCTAAAGCGCGAAAGCAGGTTAGGGAGAAACACGAGAAATAGTCAAGTGTTTCTCCCCACTTCTTGAGCTGTGACTTCTTGAGCTGTGACTGACGTGGCCTTTTCGCTCAACACATCGGAAAGAATATCAGAGCAAGCCTTAGTTGTTGACTCGAAGGGCGACTGATGTTATTTGTGAGGCCTTCTTCATTGCGATGAGCGGAGATCACGATGATGAGTTAGCCGAGATGGACCATGGCATGATCGCAGTCGCGACCATGATTAGTATGGATTTTAACAGTTATGCCAGTTTTTTTTTTTTTTTGAACACAAAAATACATGTTATACGAGTGTTAGATTTGTATTACCGTACATAAGCTTATAATCTAACCGAGCAGGAAAACTTCAAAATTCGAACTGTCCGTTTCGTTTCCCTTTGAGGATTTTCGTCCCTGCTCACGTTCAAATAACGTCAGTTACGGCGCTTAGCATATTTACAAGCCTTTTTAGGTTCTTCTGTTGCAACTTGCCGGCTCGCTCGCTCCGAAATTTCAAATTCAATTAATAAGAAAAGCTAGAGAGAAGTTCGGAAAATGGTCGGATATGGTACATTTTGGCAGGTGACGTGACCAGTTAGCTCTCCTTCTCTATGTTATATATTCTGATAAAGCACGCTGTTTCAACCAATGACAGTGCGCATTATATCCGAACTTTATTATAATAAATTATGGTACTTTGACAATTTTAGTTAACCTGCCACCCGAGTTTTCGTCAACCTCTGACTATTTCGCGGTATCTGGAGAAACCCTTGAACTGGCCATAGATGTTGCAGACCCAGAAGGCATGCCTGTCACCCTTTCACTTATGCAGGGAAGTCCAACCAATGCGATAGTCGTCGACAGTGTCCTGACATGGAAAGCCACCAATGACGCCTCGACTCAGTTTTTCCTCAAAGCAGCAGATGCTTGCCAAGCCTCATCTTATGCTAATATCACCGTGTCCTTGGTTGTCTGCCAGTGTCTGAATAACGGAACCTGTGTACCCCACCACAATAAGCCGAGAGGATCAGGGTTCTATGAGTGTAATTGCTTGCCAGGATTTACTGGGGAAAAGTGTGAAACTAACATTGACGAGTGCCAGTCTTTTCCATGCTTTCGAGGTAAGGCGACCAATGTTGACCTTTTCGAAAGTTCTGAGAGGGATGTGGATTTTTATTTACAGCAGTATATTGTACATGACGTCGCTTCGGGATATTAATGAGGAGGGGGGGGCATCGGGATTTTCGGTTTTGGTTATTTTTTAGATCGGTTTTTCGGTTTTTGGGCCAAAAAAACTTCGGTTTTTCAGTTTTGGTGTTCATTGCGGTTTGCGGATTTTCCATTTTTAGGCATTTGATTTTCGGTTTTCGCGAAAAACACTAACGGGTTTTCGGATTTGATATCCGATGCGTATTTTTGGTTTTTGCTATTTGACCTATTTGGGTTCTGGTTTCTCTTCGATCCAAGCGGTAATTACGCGCCTCCACTATCTCGAATAACCGCTAAACGCAAATGTTATCAAGAGGAATGTGAGACAAACCAATTGAAATATCGCAGGGATCCCTAGGAAGCCTACGTGTAGCCGTACCCTCCCCCTCCCCCAAGGTGGGAGGGGGGAGGGGAGGGTACGGTACACGTAGGGTACGGCTAAGCACCGAACATTGCCAGAGTTTCTTTATCAACGCCACCTCGAAGTTGGTGACCAATTTACAGGCCACATGTGACTGATTGATTCAACATTCCAATAGAATCCCAAACCTTCAGGTCTTAGTTCGCAAATGGAAATGTTAGACTAGGGATTTTCGATGAAACTTTCCAGAGCTATAGCTATTTGCGACTGCAAAAGTGCAATTCTATTGAGGACTTTAGTAAGAATTTCCTTAATTTAACTAAACTTCATTACCAGCTGCTGAGTCCGCAGAGACTACGCTCGAGGTCTTCGAGAGGGCAGCTGTTAATTTAAGCAGATACTAGAAGATACGAATGCCAAGTCCATGGCATTCATAAATCCTGTAATGAAATTGAAGTTGTTTACTCTGTATGCTCAACTTGTCACTACTGCATCGGATCGATCAGGGTTTTAATAACTGGGATGTGAAAATGTATCGGTTTCGACAGTTTTGCATGCGGTTTTCGGCCCCAATGCTCCCCTCACTAAGGAATATAGGCCATGATGAAAAAAGTCACAAAAAGGAAATAAGGTTTTTTCAATCTAATGGATAAATATTGACTTGACTGTACAGAACAATTGAAACTGAGAAGAAAAGAAAGGAAACGGATATGATCAATTAAAGTAAAAGTAATTGAAAAAATAATAATTCTAATGTCACCATATTTACAGCAAGGTAAGTGTACCGTATTAATTTCGTGACTGAAAACGGCGCCTTTTATAATTTCCGACTTCGGCAAGCCGACGTTTTGATTGTTACGAAATTCACTGTGTTTTTGTCGTAGAGAAATTAGAAGCCCACGATCAATTTTGATTTGCATATTTGCAAATAAAGACCATTTCCACTTCTGAAAAGATTTTGAGTCATGCCCTATAGGAAAAAAAGGTTGATTGAGGTTTGTTGTACGTAAAATATGGTATTTGGATACAAAAATATACATGGGATTTTCAAAAATGTGACGTGAGCCTAAAATTGAATGAAATGGACCCTTTTTAAACTTAAAAATTTAATGTGGACTGACTTTCCTTTGAGCTTTACATGAGCCAAGGTCATATGAGGTATAATTTCAGCTATTTAGTGCGCCTTAAGTAGATTTTTCTTTTTTTACTAAGATTGGGCAGATCTGGGCAACAAACTATCCCACGTTTCCAAGGTCACTGTAAGCTAGCTCTACCCGAAATACTATGATAGTAATTTTTCTCGATGTGCCACCTCTGACGCGATATTGAGAAAAGTTGTTCTCAACATCATTTAGAGTTTCAATACACAAAATGTATTCATTTCTTCTTCTAAGGTCGTTGTATCGATGGAGTGAATACCTACGAGTGTACCTGCGACCCTGGATATGTTGGCCGCGACTGTGACACCGACTACGATGACTGTAGTTCTTCTCCTTGCGTACATGGTCAGTATTTGGTCGTTAAAAAGTGATCGCCTTTCAAATCTTAATATGTTTTGACACACTAAAAGTTTTTTTTTTCCAAATAATCTTCCAAATGACCTTCCAAATAATTCGAATTAGGCTAAATTCTGTCTCCACTATGCAAAAATCATCACCTATAGCATGAAACCAAAAACTTTAAATTATTTCGGGTGGGTCTTACGAAAACCAAATTAATAATGTAGTTACAAAAAGCAAAGCTGAACAACCACCTTCAGGAATCAAACGGGACTAAAGTAGGAAGTGAATAAATCAGTAAATTATGGTTGCCACAAGTCATTAAAATGCGAGGAAAAATAAATTTCTTCAAGGTCATGAAATAATCAGTGAAAGTTTACATCTTTGAAAGAGGTTAGGGAAATGTGAAATTTCAAGTAAATATGAGGTCGTTCATCTAACCTAGGTCCTCTTTATGACGAAAGACGGTAATACGGGCTTAAAATGTGATGGATTAGTAAACTACTGTGTTAAGAAACTCAACGATAAGGGGATGTTGCATTTCAAGAAAATTAATCCTTCCATGTTACTTGAAGGAGCTATCAATTCATTTGCGTTTTAAGTGAACCCCTGAAAGCATAAATATATGGTTAGAGAGGATAGCTGTGAAAAGAGGCTGGAGTTAGTTCTCTGTCCAGGGGAAGAATGAAAAATTCAAACCGAAACAAAGAAACCTGTATCGTGGACTCGATACTTAGACAACCACTTCTTGAACTGCTCTGCCTCTGACTGCCGCGGCTCTGGCCTAGTACAAGGCCCTAACTCGTGCTCTTCCTAAAATTGTCATTATTCTGCAGGAAATTGCACGGACTTCGTAGGTACATACAGATGTACTTGCGATCCTGGATATAGCGGTCCTAATTGTACTATTGACGTCGACGAATGTGAGTCATCACCTTGCGCATTCGGTATGTCAGCAAATTATTTATTCCAATATCATTCCTTAAATTATAGTACTTTATGCTGATACATGAAATTACGGTATTTCCTGTTCACAAACCAGTTTATCCCCCATTAACAAGCACGCTTGCACAAGAGATGCATCTATTAATCAGTGATTCAGGAGTAATTATGTTTCTTCTTTGTTTAACGCGTAGGAGCATGCGTCGATCACGTTAACAAATACACGTGCGTGTGTGATGATGGTTACACAGGATATGACTGCGAGGACGAAGTCGACGAATGCCTGTCGTCACCCTGTATCCGAGGTATATATTATTAAGCCTTTTATTTTCATTTCTATCAATGCCAAGTGAACATGAAGCATTTGGCACCTGAGATGAAAAGGCCGCTTGATAAAATAATTTGTTTATGATAACCATAACCGTGTCGACTATCTTGTGTCCATTTTTTCAGGTACATGTGTAGACAAAATCAACAGTTTTAGCTGTATCTGCCCAACCGGTTTTAGTGGTGTAAGATGTGATGACAACATAGATGACTGTCTTGCAAACCCTTGTGTAAATGGTATGCAGTTTTATATCATCGAAAGTACTCTTTTAATTCTTTAAAGCTACACAGGCATTGAAATATTCCTCAAAATTTCAGGCTATTATTATGAAGCAGCTGAAATAATCAAGGAGCACCATAGAATAACTTCACTCCATACCCATTACTAAGTTCTGACAAGCTAAATATTTTAAGAGTTGACAGAGAGAAACAATTCATACAAGACTTCGACAAGCAAACAACGCAGGAGATCGTACATTCACTTCAATCGAAACCACTCCCTTAGATCCAGTGATATAAAGATCCTCATTAATTTCAATATTTTGTCATAAACTGTTTTTTCGTTTTTCCAAGGTACCTGTATTGACTTAGTGAATAACTACACGTGCAACTGCTTCGCTGGCTTTACTGGTTCAAACTGCGATATTAAGATAGAGAACTGTACCGATGATTCCTGTTACCCCAATGTGACTTGCTTCAAAAACAGTGAAATCATTAGCTGTGGTCCATGTCCCTTGGGATTCACTGGAGATGGAAAGAATTGCAAAGGTATCAATCAATTCCATCACGACAAAATCATTGCTTTTTATCGAGGAAAGAAAGAGTTCACTATTATATGACCAACCTTTGAATAGCTATGGTCACAGATAGTCCATCTGTCTAATAATTGCCCTCTTTTCGAGATACACTCTTACCGGCATCTAAAGGAATAATTTTTAAACAAATTCTCCTTTATTTTTTGTTTATAAACGTTTCGGATGTATTAACTTTTGGACATCGACTACTGTATAAGTCACGAATGCAAAAACAATGGATCATGTGTAGATGGCATCAGCAATTACACATGTAGCTGTCTGGATGGATTTGCTGGAGGTCGTTGTGAGATTGGTAGGTTGACTTACCATGTATATCGCATTCGTACTTTTTCGTACAATGTGACGCTGTCAAAGGCTCTAACTGCATTTTTGGAAGACTTTTTAACAAGTTCCATCCTTTCTTTAACACAAATATAGCCCAGATTTGACATTCAAGGTTCTTTTAAAAAATTCTGTTGTTCCATTTCATCTCATAATCTAGCCTTTGTATCCCTAAATGTTGGCAAATAATGATCATTATATCATCTTTATCGCTGTTGTTTTCGTCATGTAAAATTAATTACAGACACAGATGACTGCGTTAATCACAAGTGTGCTAATGGAGGATCATGTCTAGACGGCGTCAATACCTACTCGTGCAGTTGTACGGCAGGGTTTACAGGAGATCGATGTGGTACTGGTAAGAAATTGTTGACCATCATTTTTACTCGGCGTATGTTTCGTTGAAAGCTGCTAAAGAACTTATCCCACAAGCTCCAGAAAATGACATTACCGTTATGTATGGAATATCAGATATAAAGGCGCTTACATTTTGCAACTATGATATTAACTTGCTGAGTAGCCCGATGACTTATCAAACTATTTTTTAATCAATATATATATTTTTTATTTTTATTTCCCCTTATTAGACATCGACGACTGTATGAATCACACATGCAATGTTAGTGGTGGTTCCTGTGTTGATGGTGTGAATAATTACTCTTGCGTGTGCTTGGTTGGTTTCACTGGAGATCACTGTGAGACTAGTTAGTACTAATGGCAAACTATTCTGTGAATCATAATATAACTTCTCAGTATAAAAAAAGAAAAGTCAAGACAAAAGACTCTATAGCTAATTACCGTTGTTTTGATAGATATCGATGACTGCGCTAACCACTCCTGTGCTAATGGTGCGATGTGTGTAGATGGTACCAACGATTTCTCGTGCAATTGTATACCGGGGTATACTGGTAAACATTGTGAAACTGGTAAGATTAAGTTTTAGCTGCAAAATCTTTTCTTCGGGTGAAGTCGCTCGTTTTTTCTTCACGCTTTGCCTGTAAACGTCTATAACCTTCATAGTAAAGATATACAGTAGCTGTAGTTTGTGCGCCTTTGCTCACAAACACTGAAAGTGGTACCTTTGGATACTTGACATGTATTTTGTGTCATTATTAGATTTTTCGCTTTAGACATAGAGGATTAAAATAACTGCACATGCAGTCTTATTGGTCGTTCCTGCATGGATGGTGTGAATAATTCCTAGTGCATATGCTTGAATAGTTTAAATTAGAAATTACCGTGAGACGAGTTAGTGCTGAGAGTATACTATAAAGCTGAAAGTTAAGAAATGATTTAAATTTATTAACCATTAAATTATGTTTTTTGATAAATATTGACGAGTGCGCTAACCACACATGCGCTAACCACACATGCGCTAATGGTGCGTCGTGTGTAGACCTTTTTAATAAATTCTTGTGCAGCGGTATGGCAGGGTTCTCAAGAGATGTATGTCAGACTGGTAATGAAATATCCAACCACATTCATTTTTCATCCTCGTTATTCGTTGCATTATTTGAAAAAAGCCTCGTTAGCTGCAATACAGTGTTTCTTAGGAAATAATCAACTTAACGATGGGAGTACGAGATAAAAGCGCACATGCAACTAGTACATAAATTTGCTAATGCTATTTTCAAACACATTTTTCCGTTCCACTTTCTGTATTTTCCCTTTTTTTTTCTTTATTTATTATACATTGTCTACATTATGTTCTCTTCAATTACAGTCTTCATATGATGGTCTGGCCTAGTAATTACTAATGGCACTGGGACAATACACCGCCAATTATAATCTAACTTCTCAACTTCAAATAAAGGGAAGTTAAAAGAGAGGATGACCTTTTCTTGCTATTCACCGTTACTTGATTTACCGTTATTTTGATAGATATCGATGACTGCGCTAACCACTCCTGTGCTAATGGTGCGACGTGTGTGGATGGTACCAACGATTTCTCGTGCAATTGCATACCTGGGTATACTGGTGAACGCTGTGAAACTAGTAAGACTGATTTTTTGTAGCTAAAATTTTCCTCTTCTTTTTTTGACTCTTTGCCCGTAAACGTCTATAAACTTTATGATAAAGATACACATTAGTTGCAGTTTGTGGGCTTTTGCTAACAAACACTGAAAGTAGGTATTTCTGGATAATAGACATCCGAGTTTTGCGTCATCGTCATCTTTTTGCTGCATGCATAGACGATTGTAAGAATTACACATGCAGTCTCACTGGTGGTTCCAGCATGCATGGTGTGAACAAATACTCGTGCATGTGCTTGATTGGTTTAACTAGAAATTATTGTGGAACGAGTTAATGCTAATAGTAGACTATGCTGTGAATCATAATCTAACTTCTCAACTAAATATAAAGGGAAATAAGGACATAAGGTAAACTTCTAAATCTTTGTTGTTTTTTCCAAAGACATTGACGACTGCGATAACCACACTTGTGCTAATGGTGCGACATGCGTAGATGGTGCGAACAATTTTTCGTGCAGATGCATACCTGGGTATTCTGGTGAACGTTGTGAAACTGGTGAGATTATGTTTTTGCAGCTTGAAGTTTCTTAGGAGTGAAGTCACCCTTCTTTTCTTGACATTTTGCATATGAGCATCATTAAATACTGAGCAATGAATTTTATCACGCGGAAATATAGCTTCAAGTTTTTGGATTTCACTTATAAACCCCGCAACTATAGCTCTGGAAACTGGACATCCGTTTTGCGTCAAAAATTACTTTTTCTCTGCAGACATACACAATTTTATGAGCCACATATGCAGTCTCATTGGTGGTTCGTGTATGGATGGTGTGAACAACTATTCGTGTGCATGCTTGTTTGGTTTCACCGGAGATTTCTGTGAGACAAGTTAGCACTAAATGCATACTATAGCGCGAATCATAATCAATTACCTCAAATTGTAGGAAAGCAAAGACTGAAGTTAGATCAACTAACAATTTACTGATTTTTTTTAAAGACATCTATGACTGCGCTAACCACACATGTGCTAATGGTGCGTTGTGTGTAGACCGTGTCAATAACTACTCGTGCAACTGCATGGCAGGGTTTACAGGAGATCGATGTGAGATTGCTAAGGAATTATCGATCTACTTCATTATCACCATTATTCATCGTTTTATTTAAAGAAAGATTTATAAAGAATGTAACACAATAATTTAAAGGATAGAAAACTTATTTACAATAAGAACACAATGGTGTAAACAATTATTCGTGCATGCGCTTGATTGGTTTCACTGGAGATCACTGTGAGACGAGTTAGTACTAATAGTAGACTATACCGCGAATCATAATCCAACTTCTCAACTTAAAATAAAGGGAATTGAGGACAGAGGATGAACTCCTAACTATTTGCTGTTGCTTCTATAGATATCGATGACTGCGCTAACCACACATGTGCAAATGGTGCGAATTGTATAGACGGAACCAACGATTTCTCGTGCAAGTGCATACCTGGGTATACCGGTGAACATTGCGAAACTGGTAAACTAGGTTTTTGCGACTAGTATTTTCCTTGGGATGAAGTTGCACTCCTTTTTATATTACTGCAAATGTTATATTCTATTTTACTTTTTGTAAATTTTAAAGCAGGGATATAGCTGCAGTTTGTGGATTTTTCTCACAAGCCCTGCAGCTGGTAGCTCTGGATACTGAACGTCCTTGTTTTTTCACCATATTTTCAATGCTAATAGTAGACTATGCTGTGAATCATAATCTAACTTCTCAACTTAATATAAAGGGAAATAAGGACATGAGGTAAACTTCTTAATCTTTGTTGTTTTTTTCAAAGACATCGACGACTGCGATAACCACACTTGTGCTAATGGTGCGACATGCGTAGATGGTGCGAACAATTTTTTGTGCAGATGCATAACTGGGTATTCTGGTGAACGTTGTGAAACTGGTGAGATTATGTTTTTGCAGCTTGAAGTTTCTTAGGAGTGAAGTCACCCTTCTTTTCTTGACATTTTGCATATGAGCATCATTAAATACTGAGCAATGAATTTTATCACGCGGGAATATAGCTTCAAGTTTTTGGATTTCACTTATAAACCCTGCAACTATAGCTCTGGAAACTGGACATCCGTTTTGCGTCAAAAATTACTTTTTCTCTGCAAACATAGACAATTTTATGAACCACATATGCAGTCTCATTGGTTGTTCGTGTATGGATGGTGCGAACAACTATTCGTGCGCATGCTTGTTTGGTTTCACTGGAGATTTCTGTGAGACAAGTTAGCACTAAAAGCATACTATAGCGCGAATCATAATCAATTACCTCATATTGTAGGAAAGCAAAGATAAAAGTTAGATCAACTAACTATTTACTGATTTTTTTTTAAAGACATCTATGATTGCGCTAACCACACATGTGCTAATGGTGCGTTGTGCGTAGACCGTGTCAATAACTACTCGTGCAGCTGCATGGCAGGGTTTACAGGAGATCGATGTGAGATTGGTAAGGAATTATCGATCTACTTCATTATCACCATTATTCATCGTTTTATTTAAAGAAAGATTTATAAAGAATGCAACACAATGATTTAAAGGATAAAAAACTTATTTACAATAAGAACGCAATGGTGTAAACAATTATTCGTGCATGCGCTTGATTGGTTTCACTGGAGATCACTGTGAGACGAGTTAGTACTAATAGTAGACTATACCGCGAATCATAATCCAACTTCTCAACTTAAAATAAAGGGAATTAAGGACAGAGGATGAACTCCTAACTATTTGCTGTTGCTTCCATAGACATCGATGACTGCGCTAACCACACATGTGCAAATGGTGCGACTTGTATAGACGGAACCAACGATTTCTCGTGCAAGTGCATACCTGGGTATACCGGTGAACATTGCGAAACTGGTAAACTAGGTTTTTGCGACTAGTATTTTCCTTGGGATGAAGTTGCACTCCTTTTCATAATACTGCAAATGTTATACTCTATTAACTGTTGTAAATTTTAAAGCAGGGATATAGCTGCAGTTTGTGGGTTTTTCTCACAAGCCCTGCAGCTGGTAGCTCTGGATACTGAACGTCCTTGTTTTTTCACCATATTTTCAGCAGCTGTAGACAACTGTACTATACTTGCAATCTCGTTTTTACGCGGATGAAATAAACAATCATTGTTGAATTTTCTTGGCTCGTTGCACTGGCGATCATTCTAATTGAAGCAATATATTAAATGCTTTGGTAAATATAACTTTTGCAATTTCTGGCCGACTTTGTAACACCCCCCTATCTCTTTTTCCTTTGTAGACATTGATGACTGCTATAACCACACGTGTGCTAACGGTGCGACGTGTATGGATGGCATTAAAAACTTCTCATGCAGTTGCTTGCCTGGGTATACTGGTGAACGATGCGAAACTGGTAAGGTCTGTCTTGCAGTTTAAGGATTTGGGAAGGTTTTTATTGTTTCTTTATAATTAAACCAGCTATTTGTGCTAGTCTTAATCTTTTAATAAATTCTCAATGTGCAGTTATCGACGAATATACTTTCGATGATTGCATACTTAATTTTCATCAATAATGTTTTTTGATCTAGAGTTAAGACCAAAATGATCGGAATTTCTTTAAAACCGATATGTTGAGATCACTGGGCTATTTCAGTTTACTTTGTGTTTTTATTCAGAGATTACTTTTTTTCAAACCCATAGCTGTCGTCAAGCACTCCATACAAGTGATCAGCAAGTATATGACTACATCAGCGTTCAATTCTAACCAGACCAGAAGTACTGTGTTGTCCACGCATCTGACGACGAGTTCAATTTCAGAATCCAGTGCAATGTATCAAATACACACCACCTCTACGGTTAAAGACACCACAACGTCGTCTTCAGTTATTAAAGACATTCCCACAATCGAAGCCCGTGAAAAAACTAATACACCTAAGCCGACAACGGATGACCCCGAAACGGGTACGTACATATTTGATGATGAGAATGAACATAATCGTAGGGAAACTATTTCCGCCAATTTTATTGCTGATAATAACAGCCAGTAAGTCATTTTCTGCCATGCTCTCTTTACGCTGAAGACAACTTTGGAGACTATAAAGTGACGTTCAAAGGCTATTTTGATTTACCACATTTTTTTCTTTCAGTGATTAAAGCTGAAATACGTATTGAAAGCTCTTGGAATGAAGACCTTAAAGACGAAACCAGTGCAGCTTTCAAAGATTTAGCCTTGGTCATTGAAAATGAGGTGGGATTGGAATAATTTGATAGTTTGTAACACGGGTGAATTTGAACTCTTATAGGTTTTTGCATATCCTACTCATCTTAAACAATATAGGAGTTGTTATCGGGAAGCTTTGACTGATACGTTTTTCTCAGCATGCTGTATCTTGATCGATCTGTTTTAGTTCGTTCGACACATTACATTGCGTTGTGTGAATTTTTCTCTCCTTCTTCCTACTCAATAACCTTCACGGAAAAACGAATGAGTCGTGAAAAAAAAAATTGTAGTGTTTGGTGGTTCTCCCGCGATGAGCTTTAAAAGTAATTGTAATTGAATGGCATATAACCGTTAAATTCTTATTGGCCAGTGACCTAAGCATTATAGAGACCTCTGTGAGTTGTAGGATTCTTTGCAATTCTTTAATTTATTACTATTCAGCAGTTTTTTCTTTATTAAATGGATGACATTATCTCAAATAATGATAATCTAACCAACAGATAGGAAAACAGTATTCTGAAGTCAACAACTTCATCGGAGTACAAATCTTAGCATTCAGGTATGCCAAGTTAAATAACTAAGTGATTCGGTCTTTCACTTTGCACTGCAGCTATGGTAATTGACGATAGAATTTGTTCTGATCCATATCCTTTAGGCGCGGAAGTGTTGTGGTCGAATTTAAGTTGTTATTCAAGGAGAAAGTTACAGATGAAACAGCGGTAGCTCCGTTAAGAAAGGCTGTGGACAATGGCAGTCTTGGTCCTTTGGCTGTTCAACCCGCATCCTTAAGAATCGTGAAGGAAGATGAGGGTAATTTACAAACTTTCAGTGCCAGCAGCATAAGCAGTAGCAGTAGGATAAGCAGTAGTGGTAACGCTGGCATCAGCACTAGCGGTGACAATGGTAGCAGGAATATTATCAAATGCATAGGCTCTGGCAGAAGAAGCAGCATTAGTTGTAGCAGTAGCAGTGGTGGTAACAGGTGCAATAGCGATATTGGTGCAGTAATAGTAGGTGCTGTGGCAGTAGTAGCGGCGTGGTATTAGCAGCGGCAAGAGCAGTAACAATGGCAGTAGCAGGTGTAAGGGTAGTAAGAGTACCAGCTGCACCAGAAATAACGATAGCATAAGCATAGCCATATCGGTGGAAGTAGCAGTATCAATGCCATTGGCAGTAATAGTAGCAGTGGCAGTGGTAGTGGCACCAGTGGCTACATTTGTAATGGGGGATGAAAGTATTACTAACAATATTAATAGCATTAGCTGTGACAGCAGCAATAGCAGTATCGGTGCCATCAGCAATAGTAGTGGTAGTAGCATAAGTGGTTGCATAAACAACCGGGGATGAAAGTCGCGTGAGCCGTAATAAGTTGTTACGAAGTACTTACGTAGATGTATAGAACATTTTATGTTTCACTGACTTGCTAAACCATTATATTATATTTCATTTAGATCCAACAGAGGATTCAAAAGAGAAGCTACCCTACCCACTCATCATTGGTGCCTCTTGTGCCGGGATAGCTGTCCTCGTTTTCATTAGCATTTATCTCGTCTACCGCCACCAACGTTATAAGGAACGTAGCCGCAAATGCTCTTCCAACGTGTTGCCTTCAGAAGTTTCCCTCCTTAACCCAGAAAAATACGAGCTAAAAGAAGCGCTTTCTGAGCAGTGTTAGATTTACTGTTCTCACTATAAGGAGAACTCAGTTTAAAATGCTCTTGCAGCTAGATTTGAAGTGCACCGTAATTTTTTTGCAGCACTTGACACTATTATCAATTTTATGTAATGTCATTTCTCATTCTAAGGGTGATCCGCCAACGGTTAATATAGCCGAGAAGGAACAAATTATATGATCAAAGAGACATAACAGATCGTAAAAGACTGGATTTTTCATTTTTTCTCTCAAAAAAAACATAGAAAGGAATCAATTATACAGTTTACATCACAGCTGAGATTTTCCAACGCTATAAGTAAATATGTTCCTTTTCGATAATCAGGAGAGAGAACTTTCAATATCTGGCAAACATGTTGATGATTTTTGGGATATTATCTTTAGCGCTTTCAAATATCCTTAAATCACTGCCTTAACCCAACTTTTTACACAGTAAGACTGTACCATGTCTTACACAGCTAGTGTCCTGGCGAAAATTTTAAAAGTTGGACATCATCGCTTTGCAAACATTATAGAAGGCTTTGCCTTTGCGATTGTATACAATTTTAGTGAATAAACCTTACTGCCAATTTTTTTTTTAAAAAGGATTTTATATTCTTTCTCAAATAAGTTCCCTATTTTCTAAACTATTACTATAGACAGCGATAAGCAAATCACATTCAATGTGTACGATCAAGAAAGATTTGTGGACTGCGATCGATGAATCGTGTGTTTAATGCACTTAGTTACCAAACAATATTAACAGAAAGGAGGCATGTGGACAGTCCTCCTGTAATTCGGAAAATAAGGTCTTAAACAAGCAAAGCTAATCTTATATTTGGATTTCGGGAGGAAAAGGTTGCTATTATACTTTTAGTAGAACCAACTCTTGTGCTTGTGTTAATGAAGTTAATGAAGCCATCAATTTGAAGAAAAAGACAAGAAATTAAAGAAATGGCCATGAGAATAAACATTATCAAGATTTAAAATTTTAAAAGACTATTGTGAAGCTAATTTTTCAGGAAATTGCCGATAAGAAAAACGTGTTTGGGTACTTTATTTTCGATTTATATAGTTTTTGCATCAGATAGGACTGCTTGTTTTGCCGATTGCTCTTTGCTGAATAAAATGACCAGCCCTCTGTTTTTTTTTCCTAATTCTTTCAAGAGCATTTTATCCAGGCAACTGTCTACTTCAGTTGCTGTCCGTTTATCTTGGAGACATATTTCCTGTGAACTTGGTAAATTAACGGCACATAGATATCGGACAGCAAATGACAAGTGAGGTGTGGTTTGAGGGTTGATACAAGTTACGAAAGCTTTTTCGTCAAAAAAAGGGAAATTCTTTCAGCCTAACATTTTTTTTCTTAAGTCTTATTTTCTATTTTCCTGTCAAGTTCGATAATTACTGTTTTTTTGACAAGCCAAAAATTAGAGTGGAAAAGTGAAAAATCTAAAGAAAGTTAATTATGAAGTTGTTCATCTTGTCGTGGCCATTTTCATGATAAAAGGATGTGATACTTTCCTCCTTGATGTTGATTACGCACATTGTTTTGAGCAGTTGACAAATTCCTGACCACCATATCCTTTCCCTCTGTAATGCAAGTTGAAGTTCGTTTGTGAATGAAATTATACATTTTAATTCTTTTTTTTTCTTTAAATTTCGCGGAAATGAAAGATGTTGAATTGTTAAAATAAGCTGATGCTGGGTTTGCAAGAAAATTCATCCTTTTTCCATTTTACCTTGAGGAGTGATCAATTCATGCATACTGTGTGTGACTCGCTTAAAGTTTTGTTTGCAGTAAAAATTTTAAGAAGATTTAAATAATTCACTTCCTTATCTCTGGCCACTTTTAAAACTTCTGTATCTCCGCTTTCAAAGAAAAACAAATCTCGATGAAATTTAGACTTTAAAGACATAAGCTACCGGGAACAGGTCTTTCCATTGTAAGGGTTTCATAACATCAGATATTCATCACATCATTATTTAATATTTAAAAGCATACGTTTATTTTGATTATTACTATGAAAATAAAATTCCCCTTTTTAAGACACATAAAGTCATATGTTTGAGAAAGACGGAAAATAAATACAATTTTATTATACTCCAGTCAAGGGTTCTTGTGTAGAATTAACTTTTTAACGGTCGTGCTAAAAGGCAGGCTGAAGACCGTGCAGACTGTGTGGACTGGGGAATAATTTGTAACTTGCTGTAACTTGCTAATAGATCTTTTTAGCTATGTGTTCATGTGATTTGAAATGGTAAACAAGAATTCAAAATGGCTTCTCAAGTATTGCTTTAGACGACATCCTATAGGTGAAACTGCTTCTTCTTTTGCCGAAATTTTCATATCCACAGATAAATCAACACTCAAAATACTGTCGTAATATAGAAATCGCCGACAAAAGAAATTGAGTTTGCAGTTAAGATTATAAACAATTAGAGCTGGAAATAGTAAAATACATGAAACGATGGCAATTTGTGATTTAAGGTTTAAGGTAAAAAGTAAAGAGAGGGGTAGGGTAAGCGACAAATAAAAAAAAAAGTAAATAAATAAAAAAATAAGGGAGGGGTGGAGGCGCGGAGTTTATCACTCTGGATGATGAAGGTTAGAGAACACGCCCTTGGACAGTAAGTCGTAGTTGTTCCAGTGTATTGGGTTTAGATGCACTCTGACGCTCTGCCAGTTTCGAGCTGGTCAACGCTTTCCTGTCCACATCGATATCACCCTTGCTGGTTTAGTTTTACTGATTTCTAGTGTTAGCGTCTCGTTCTATTTGTCAATAAACTGTGTTGCCCAAACATCGTAGCCTGTGTTTGATATGAACAGTTATAACTTTGCAATTCCTCATCAACATATTATAGTTTCTTTTCGCCCATCCCTCGCCCCCTCCCCCTACCGTGGACTCTAATCATTACAATCTTTATAATCAATAAAATCTTAACCATTATAATATTATTAGACCGATGGTATTTAGAGCAGATAGGCTTTCCTAAACAGGTGAGGTTTGAGAAGACGCTTGAAAATATGTACAGTATTGGCATAACGTATGTCTCTCGGTAGCTCTGCATATTTAAATGAGCGGTCACCTAATGTGATACGACTCTTAAAAGAAGGATTACTCAGTAAAAGCGTATCATCAGTGTTACTGAGATTGTATCTTGAGGCGGGTTTCAGTTCTACAAGTTCAGATATATAAGGGGGAGCGATACCGTTGAGGGCTTTATATACAAAAAGAAGAATTTTAAACTGGATTCTATAGTTAATGGTAGCCAATGGAGCCTGCTCAGTGATGGGGTGATGTGTTCGAAACGACCTACATTGCAGATTAGGCGAGTGGCCGCATTTTGAATTCTCTGTAGTTGATGTACTTAGTTATTAGGCAACCCGTATAGCAGGCAGTTACAGAAGTCCAAACGACTAATTACAAAGCATTTACCTTTGTACTTTCAAAGTTATGAAATCTTGTCATCCTTCTGATGTTGTATAAGTGAAAAAATGTGGTTTTACAGATGCTATCCATCTTAAGTTGTCCATCGAACAGCAGCCTAGGGTCTTGACTCTGCTGGTTTAGGCGATGCTACTTTCACCTACCTGCATGGGGTATATGTTGACTTTGGCGAGTTTTTGTCTCGTTCCGATCATAATGAATTCCGTCTTATCGTCGTTTAGCCTTAGTCTGTCTTGAAGCATCCATTTTCTAATGTCCGCAATGCAGTTTTGCATTGCCGATAAAGCGGCCGACCGCCCAGCTCTAGAATCGGCATTGAAGGATACATACAATTCCGTGTCGTCGGCGTAGGTGTGCACATCGGGTAGGTGACGTTCGATGATCTTAAACAGTTTGCTTGATTATACGACAAACAATAGAGGGCCAAGACAGGATCCTGAGGTACACCATATTTTGTATGGAATTTATCCGATGTTCCACAATTGATGGAGACGGACTGGGATCTGTTGTGAAGATAGGACTCGAACCAGGAGTACACATGCCCCGTATTGCCAAAGTCCTTGGAGAAAAAAATTGAATCTACTTATACAATAACTTTCCTCACCATTTACTTCATAAACAGAAGTAAATCTTCGTACATAAATTAATCGTCAATGAGAGTGAATAATACTTTCCGTAAGATCATCGATTACCTCTATTTCAACTACCATGTACTCGCTCAAAAATTGTTTCAGTTTAAAGGCAAATGGCCATACAAAAACCTTTCTCCGTAACTGCCAAAAACCGGTTACAACTAGTAACACTCTTGATGAAGGGAACCAGCGGTTTTGCTGTTATTCCTTACATTCAGGGTGTTACAGAACCCATCAAGGGAATTTTGAATAGCCACAACGTTAAAGTTGCTCAAAAACCTCTTCAGACTTTGGGGCATATTTTCGCCAAACCTAAGGACCCTGTCACGAAAGAACAACGAACCGACGCCATTTATTCTATTCCTTGCAATAACTGTGACAACGAATACATCGGACAGACCAAACGTCAGTTTGGTACACGTTTGAAAGAGCATCAAAAAGCGGTTTTCTTTTGCAAAAAAGAAAATTCAGCTGTATCGGAGCACACATGCCTAAATAACCATACAATTGGGTGAGATAATTCTAAAATTATCACCACTACTCGGCGTTACTACCACTTTGTTTGGAGCATGCTTGGCATATTAACTCCGCCCACGCTCCTTTAAATCGTGACGATGGCGGCTTACTTCCTGACGCCTATTTACACCTCGTCAGAAAAAAGGCAGCTACTTAGTGATCATATAAAAGGACCTCTTGTTGCAGCGTTTAGATCCCTCCTGATGAAGGCACTAGACAGGACGTTGGGTCTATGAATTTTATCTTCTTCTGTTACATTCATTAAATCTGTAAACCCGAGTAGCATCAAACCATGTCCAACATATATGTATTTTATAACTATACAAATTTTATTTGCCCCTCACATTTCTTGTTAGCAATAAGATTGTTAGGAAGGCAAACAAACAAAGAGATAAAAGACAGCGAAATTTAAAGACCTAGGTAA